TTTTATCGTAGATATGACATATTATAAAAGTGAAAAACTCTTATAAAATGTTGCGATAATATCAACCATTTTCGAAAAAAATCGACATTTAAAGTTTTTCAATTAAATTAAGATTATTTTTAATTTGATAACCTTAAAGCCAACAAAATTGTAGTTTTTAATAAAACATAAACAAGTTAATTTAAGTATACGAAATGATTTCGAAATATTTTTGTAACAGAAATGAAAGAAGTAATTCTTATTTAAAAAATCTAAATAAACTTAACCGGAAAGTCTTGTTGGGAAGAAATGCGACTCTATTAAATAGAATCTCCCTTGCCCGCAGATTTAATGAAAATTTGAAAATAATGAAGATTTTCATCAGTTCAGTTCAATATATCTTTCGATGGATTAATTTCTAATCTAATATATTAAATACTGTATGTTAGCAACTATAATATCTTACAATTTAGCTGTCTAAAAGTGTTTACTAAAGAGGGGTGCCATCATAATATCATCACATTTATACTTATACATTTCTAACATAAATGATAAAAAATATATTATTAGGCAGCAAACCTTATTAGACTCACTAAGACAGATCAGCTTAAATTAGCTTAAATTAAAAATTTAAAGCTTAATTTTGTTCCGTATAACGCATATTTCGTAATTATTTCCAATAAATCTTATATAAACATAGAAATTGAAGGTGATATTAGTTTAGAATAGAATTAGCCACCTCTAAACGTATAACCTCTTTTTGAGGTGGAAAGAAGATTAAAACGCTAACTCGTTTTCCGAAGATGTATTAATATAGTTTTTGGCGATCGGCGATCTGACAAAAAAAGTTCTATTCTAGATGCAATAACCTATACTCTGAATGAAGTCTTAGTATCCATACTAGTACGGATAATAAAAAAAATACTTTTTCACGAAACAAAGTTGTATTAAGGTAACTTGATCTAAATCGGTTTATTTCATCCAAGGGAGCTTCCTTGAAGTTTGGGTCATTAGCTTCTGGATATCCTATAAACAGTGCTTTATATATATAGGGTAACACAGAATAGATTGTTGGCCGCCATTACAGGAAAACGGAAAGAGCAAATAGGAAACCGCAAGAGAGTAGTCGATATCCTTCCCCTTCAACAGATTTAAAATGATATATTTGGTTCGATCAAGTCAGAAACTGGTGTTCTCAGCGTTACCGTGGAACAAAGGATTACTGACGTAAATAAATAATCTTTTTAAAAATAATCAGCCAACAAAATCACTAGGTGCTAGTGATTAATTTCCCTTTATATACCATCTCGTGTCTTTTGAAAGGAAAGAGGTATCGAAGAACTTTTTTTTATAAAAGTTGAGAAAAAAAGGACATGGTGTAATAAAATGTTTATGAAATTAGAAAAATAATTTCAAATGGCGGCTAACCGTCAGTTCTGGTTGCCCTGTATATTAAAATGAAAACACAAAAATTAAGAGAAGGTTTGAAGAACAGATGATAAATTAACTTTTTTTGTAAATATAAGAGGATAAAATTTTAAATGTTAGCATAAACGGTGATGCAAAACGGATATAATTTATGAAGCCTAATTTGGTATAATAGCTATAAAATTAACTTGACATAGAATACTATTAAGGTGTGTCTACTATAATGAATATAATTATCATAACAAATCTTGCAATCAAGCACCTCCAACAAATATTCAGAATCGTTGTCATCAACTTCTTCATAAGAATAATATAATAATATAATAGTAGGTACTAAATTTTAATATTTCTCAATGGAGTTGTATCTGCTAGAGTGACACTTTTGTGTCATTTGTGGTACTCCTTCAAAACTATATATATATTATTTTTCGAAAATGCCACGAGCAAGCAAAAATTAATCTTTTCACACATTTCAATTTTCTAATTTTGCAGGAGAGCATTTTAAAGATTTTGTACTTTATCTCGTTCTATTGTAGAAAGATGGGTGATGTGAGACTGCTGTAAGTTGAGCAATTGAGAGATGAAAGTATTACTTTTAGTAAACTGTAACTAAAAATTACAATTTCTTTCGGAAAATTGAAATCTTGTATCCGCATGAAGTTACGCCGACATTTATGTTAACTAGCAAACCACAAAATGAGATTCGGCCATATGTTAATATAAAATAACAAATATGTATAAAACACTACTTCTCTAGTATAATAATTTAAAGAAAAAAAAAACAAATATTTAAAATGAATCAGAAAAGATTTGAAAGTCTTTATTTCGTACTATTGGAGTATTTTCTTCACATAATGATTTTATTGGGCGTAGTTTTTGTTACTAATTTTTATAGATCCATAATTAAGACTTTGTAATAGAATTCCATTGAATTTAAATTTCTGCCGTTTTAATGAAAGTGACTTGTTTGTATTTGATCAGCTTAATTTCCATGACATCGGTGTATTTCATAGGCCCGCCTGTTTCATCTATTTTTATAGTACGAATCCGCAAATGATGAGATAATTTTTTAAAGTAAGAAAAGTCGTCACTTTCTAGAGATGTAACAAAATAGAGATGAATATAGGGCGTTAAAAATTTAAAAAAAAATTCGAGTTTTTTAAATAACTTCTAAATGAAGAAAGCCAAATTTGGCATGACACATCTTCTTATAAGATACCATTTTTTCATAGAAGTAGAAGTCACGCAAGCAACCAGTGGAGAATTTATGGGGACTCACTCATTAAATTATAAAAAAATTAATACGGCCCCACTGAAAATAAAAAATGAAGCTGTTTTTAGATACAACAGTTTGTTATTGACAAAAAGTGCACATTCACTTTTTTTTTTAACTCTTATAGTTTCATGGCAAAATTGATTTTTCGGAAGGGTGCTTCTGGATTCTGTCGATAAACTTTAGGAAGACGTTCCTCATAAAACCTAAAAAAAATATAGTACCTATTAAAATTGGTCTTAGTCTCGAGTATGTGTGAGTCAAATAAAATAAGTCTTTTTGTCTCCCCTTTCCCTGGGTTTAACCAATAGTATTAAAATTATTTAGGATATGCTTCGTTTTTGAGATATAGGGTGTTTTTTTTTTTAGAAAAAAAAGATGATGTTAATGAAAACAATAGAAATATTTAAGTACCTAACATCTAATGTGACTATGTCGTAATGCGACAACGTAACGACCATTGCAATACTCCTAAATTTTTTGTGGTTTGTAGTCACTTCATTTACTTATGTTGTGTACTTTTAAATAAAATAAGATGGCAAACAATACATGAAAATTTATTTGTAAATTCAAACAACCAAAAAATTACCAATTAATATTATACCTAGACAAAGCGAAAAGTGAATCAAAAATGAAATGATTTAAAAAATATTTTGTTCGAAATTGGCGCCTCCGGACTGTAGACAAGCACGACATCTTTCGTTGGGGTGCTGTTGAACAAAAAGTCTACGAGGTGCCAGTTGATACCCTAAAAGATCTAAGACAGTGAATAGTCCAAGAGTGTCGAGAATTAACTCCAATTCAGTATCGATCGGCCACTACCTCCGGTCAATCGGCCAATTTTTTTTTATAATTTAATGAGTCTGAGTCCCCGTAACTCCGCCACTGGTTGCTTGCGGGACTTCTACTTCTATGAGAAAATGGTATCTTATAAGAAGATGTCATGCCAAATTTGTCTTAAATAGCCTTTTTCATTTAGAAGTTATTTAAAAAATTCGAATTTTTTTAAAAATCTTTAATGCCCTATATTTCTAAAAATGAAGCGTCTCTGGAAAAAAATTTATACTTGATTTATTTCATATTTTTTTATGAGGAATATCTCCTTAAAGTTTGTCGACTTAATCCTGAAACATCCTGTATTATAAAAAGTCGGTGCAAATACCACTCAAAAAATTAATCTTAGTCCAACTCTGGGGCACAAAAAACTTCTAGGACGACTACTGTTGCTATCGCCATCTTTTCCACAGTATTATAAAGAAATGTTGGAACATAAAGATTCCTTTATCTTCAAAAAGTGTACTTTTCCTGTTTTGTTAAGAGTTTTGTAAAAAGTACGTAATAATTGTAATCAATTCATGTGTTAGTAGTTTCTTAAAACCACACTGCGGGGTGTGATTCTATTTATAGAGCCATACGCGATTTTCTGCATGTTCAACAGAACACTTAATGAGAAACATAAGCTTTATTTTCTTATTCTGAATGTCTTGTCACCTTGTAGATTGTCTTACAGCCTGCACAAAACTTGCATAACTAATATAGTGAAGAGATATTGTGTCGAACTTCCTTAGATTTTCTAAAACTCTCGACAAATTGACTATAAATTCACTAGAAATTAAGCATAAAAACGCCCCTCTTAAAGAAAGTATTGTTAGATACTTGTTTACTTTTTAAAACATATTACAACATATTCACAAGAAAATACTTTAAGTACCTAATGGACAACTGCCTCCCCTATCAATAAACTGTATACAATTAAATAATGTTTCCTAGTCTTACGTTGAAACTCATTAATCAATATTTACTTTGTAGTCATAAAATTGTATAAAACAGGTTCTTATGTGATTAACACATAACATTATGCAAGTATGAAGAGGTGAGTCTGAATGAATAAAAGAATAGCTTACGATAAATATTGTAATCTCTTAAACATTTGTAACAGTAAGATAAAAATCTTAAGGAAATCAACTGTAATTGTTCCTTTTCTGTCAATTAAGTGATGCTACTTTGTCTTATCAAACTGTTTCGCTGGTTTTAAACAAAAGATTGCAAAAGATTTGGCATTTGTTTAAAATAATTTCGCAACAATGCTTATCTGATTTCTAAATATTGATAGCGTGGTAGAAAAAAATTACACAACATTGAATTGTAGTATACCGTTTAGCTTACTTAATTTGTTACTTATTTCGAGAAAAATCTGCAACATTCTTGAAACCTCTGATAGAATTTGTATTTTTTATCTTATTATACGAAAAGAAGTTCTCTTTCCTAGATTCTGAAGCAAGAAGTTTTCAAGTTATCAAGAATAAAAAAATATACTTACTTAAAGATGACATGCTTCTACACATTCCTTTTACGATATCAGAAGGTCTTAAAGTAGGTTCTTCCACTACTTCCACGATCTCGGCTCCCCTTGGTTCGTCGTCCATGTCAAGAATGTTGCTCAAACTTTTGAGTGGTGGAGGTGGGGGTGGAGGCGGAGGGGTAGCTTCGATCGGAACTGAAGTAACTCTCTTTAACACTCTAGAATTATTCGCTGGTGTGGTATTAGTTTTGGGAGGAAGAGAGTGACGAGCTCCTAGTTTGGTTTTTTCCGGTTCTTCTTCGAAGCTTAACACCGATGGGGATGAAGAGAGACCACTTTCCTGAAAATCAAAACAGCAATATATATTATTCATATATCAAAATGGAAAGCAAACTAAAAATAAAACATGATAACAAGCAACACAGCATTTTAATAAGTTGGTCATTTTTAGGATAATGGGCTAATACCCTGTTGAATTCGTGATATCGATACCAAAAACGAGGGAGTGGAAGAAGATGCTTCCTCCTAGAGCCAATCTAGTCTGGTATAAGGGCGGTTTAAATATAGTCAGAATTTGAAGATGAAATATCTGAAAGTAAGCAAGTTTCTTTTAACTTAGAAATGCACGAGTTTTCCAAGCAAAAGAGATGGCTACTAAATATTGCTCAATGGAGTTAATAACGAATTGTTACTTACTCAGACAGCCAAATAATATTAAAGGCAATTAACTTGTACCAGAACAAAGTCAGGTGTAGAGTTGTTTGGATGCGTTGGTAGGTCAGAACGATGCACATGAGCTGGGGCATCAGAACAAGAGGGACATCAGAATAACGAGAAAGCTGAGGAGTTAGCAAAGCAAGACACTCTCACAGGAACAGAAAAGATAAGATAAGACCCCAAAGAAACCAGACACGAAGGGAAGTTCTTAAATGAACTATCGAAAAGTTGACAAGGGACATATTGAACCAAATAAGGATAACAGTTGGTCAGGACAACATATCGCGGGCTCAGGAAATATCTGAATAATATTTGCCTGATGAAAGACATCTTGTGTATTTTCTGCCAATAAAAAGAGGACAAGTCCACGTATTGTGCAAGTGTGAAGGTCTAGTGTTATCTACTATCGGGAAGACAAAAACCGGAAGCTGAAGTTATGTAAAGGAGTCACTGTTAAATCTGTGGATTCTAATTACATAGATTGATTATATCAAATGAGGAATTCTAACATCATGGAAGTCCAATGTAGACCAATGGTTGATCCCAGCAGAATATATCCACTTCATATATCTAAAATCGACAATATCATCTTTTGATTAATGTGTGAAAATACTGTTGTCAATAAAAACAAGGCAATAGGTCCATTGCGACCTACCTACCGTAAGAACATTTGAAAAGCTATATTTCATGCAAGGTAAAGTAGATTCAAGAGAAGAGAAGATATTCAATACATTCTATGGTAGTATGATATTGTTTTATGTAGGACAAAGAACATTATTTTTAAAATCTAAAATTTGTAAGATATATCTATTGCCGAAAAATGTTTTGGAATTAATTTAATTTTACTTAAATCATTATTATAGCAATTTACTTTAATTTGGGCATAACTAGAATAATGAATTTTCTAAGGTCAAAGGTCTAAAATTTAGTTAATATGTTCGAATAGAAACGTTACATTTTTCAAGTGCTACAACTAGAACATTGGTTTAGTATTTTTTTTTTAAATAACAGTTTTCCAATAACTAGCGGATTATCTGGTTGGTGGCAAAATTAACATTCACAATCAGAAACAAAATGCCATGGCAGATCTGATGAGGGCTATTGCATTGTCAAATTAATTTGACAACTGCAATAATTAAATAATGGATGTATCAGTACAATAATAGTTGCTTTTAATGAAATTCCTTGTTCACGTAAACAATTATCATGGAGAAAATAAAATTTTGCATTTTTGGCTTATCGATACCTAGCCGACTTTTTAAACATTCATAACATTTTCTGTTTTTTTAGACGCACATGTCGTTTTCAATAGAATTTTAAATCATTAAATAATTAAGTCATTAGAAAGAAGGTATTCAACTGAATTTTAATGCGGAATCCAATGCGGATGTAACTAATGTGTAGCAAATTAAAAAAAAGGTCACACCACGCACACGTGTCCGTAAACGCTCTGTTTTCGAGATACAGGATTTTAGAAATTAAAATAAAACTATTTATTTCAAATTACAAAAAAACATTTACTGGTAATTGGTCCTGAAAATAGCAAAATTCCGTTTAAAATAGTAAAGAAATGTTAATTTTTTATTCTCTTATATTATTTTTTTAATTATAGTTGGTGGAATACTAAATTTATTTATTTAGGTATATAGGTAACTAGAATTGCATCAAATGAAAAATTAAAATTTTCTTTTAGGTAAACTTTTTATCTTAATCCGATTATTTTCTTCTATTATACTTACATTTTTAATTTTAGGTTCTTTTTTTTTCAATTTAAATTTAATAAATGATCTTATTAATCAAAATATTATTCGATCCTATAAATTATAGATAAATAAATTTTTAATATGACCATACTTTTTTTTATAATTATTTATCTATTAATTATTTTAATTATAGTAGTAAAAATTATTAATATTCAATCTGGCCCTTTACGACAAAAATCTAATGAAAATACCAATTCGCAAAACTTCACCAGTTTTAAAAATTACACCAGCCAACAACAAAAAAAAAGTTATGTGAACTTTACATACATGCGACATATGATTTCCTGTGTAGTTTTGTCTCCATAGTCTGTTTTGCTCCATCACCCTTCAGTTTTCCATAAAACGCTGAATACCCTCAGAAAATCGCTAAAAATCTTCAGTGAAATGGAGAAATTTAGGAAATGACGAGATCTTAACACGTGACATGTTTTTTGACGTAATTTTCCATCCTGGATCCGATTCCGATGTCAGAATGACTCCATAACCGTTTAGTCTTTAAAAAATCACTGTCTTCACAAGTCTTCAGAAAAAAGGCGAAATTTGGGAGGTGATGAAATCTTGACGTGCGGCATATGGTTTCCCGTATATTTTTGTCTCCTGAACACGAATCCATAGTCTGTTTTGCTGCATCACCGTCTAGTCTTCAAAAAATCGATGAAGATATAAAAAATGGCAAATTTGTAGAAGTAATGAGATTTTTATATGTGACTCATGGTTTTCGATGTATTTTCGTCTTCTGTTAATTAAATCATTGCTCTCCAATCTTCAGCAAAGTATGAAAATGAATAAGGATAAGAATAAGGATTAGCACAATTATGTCATTTGTATCTTCTTTCCGATGGCCGTTGATTTTTCCGGCGTTCCATTATCCCATCAAACCCTGAATATCTGGGTTCTATGCACTACAGAGCATTTCATACGTATTCTATTCGAAAACATATGCCGTATGTCAAGACCTCGTCACTTTTCAAATTTCGCCCTTTTTCTGAAGATCTTCTGCGATTTTTTGAAGACTAGAGGGTTATGGAGTAATTCTGACAACGGATTCGGATCCATGAGGTAAAATTACGTGGAAAAAAATGTGTCACGTCTTAAGATCTTGTCACTTTCTAAATTTCTCCATTTTTAGCGATTTTATGAAGGTATTCAGGGATTTACGGAAAACTGAAGAGTGATGGAGCAAAACAGACTATGGATTCGTGCTCAGGAGATAAAAATACATAGGAAATCATATGCCGCATGTAAAGTTCACATAATTTTTTTTGCTGGTGTTATTAATGGGTCTTTAATTGATCTTTCTTCACCTTCTAATATTAGGCCTTTGTTTAGGAATTCAAATTGTAACTGGATTATTTTTAGCAATACATTATTGTCCTAATATTGAATTAGCATTTAGAAGAGTCGCTCATATTTGTCGAGATGTAAATTATGGATGATTAATAACACTTCATGGAGCTTCCTTTTCCTTTATTTGCATTTATATTCATATTGGACGAGGTATATACTATAGATCTTATAATTTAATTGAAACATGAATAATTGGAGTAACTATCTTTTTTATTGTTATATGAACAGTATTTGTAGGCTATGTTTTACCCTGAGGACAAACATCTTTATGAGGGGCAACAGTAATTACTAATTTACTATCAGGTATCCCATATCTAGGAACAACAATTGTACAATGAGTTGGAGGGGGAATTGCAGTTGATAATGCTACCTTAACACGATTTTTCACTTTACATTTTTTACTACCTTTTGTTATTGTTGCTTTAGTAATTATTAATTTCTCTCAAACAAATGAATTTTTTATTGAAATACTGAATACTAGTTATTTACAAACTCATTCAGAAAATTTCGTTTTTTGTTTTACTATCAATTTTATCAATTTCATTAAAAATTATTATTTAAAGGGTGGCAAAATATCTAAATAATAAAAGAAAAAACTTCAGGCGATATCTTAATATAGGACAATATAAAATAGGAATGTACATCATGTGGCGTGTATGATCTATAAAAATTAAACTACAGCTTCCATATGATATTTGTAATAGAAAACTCTTATACGAAAAAGTATTTTATTCGCGTTTTTTTTTTTTGTAAATGAAAGTTCATTTATTCAACGAAAACGAAGGCCGACCCTATGTTATTTATTAAAAACTTTGGAAATGTTTTTATGCGACCCGAGATGCAACCTTATAATTTAAGTCGGTATAATCCTTGTAATACTAAAAGATGGTTAGGTTACATTGTCAAAAAATGTGTGCAGTCATCTGATTTTGTATTTGTATTGAATTCATTATTCACTTAATTATTAAATATTAAGCATCATCCATCGATCCATCAGTGTGAAAAAGTGAAAGATTCCAGACAAAAGATTTTATTTTGTAATTCCACGATAATGTAAGTGTAATTTTTATAAAGAAGAAACAAGAATAGCGTGCCGATTACATTAAAAACAAGATTCTTATTTCTCACTTTGCTTAATTTTTCAGTTTGTGCACAAACTAGTTTTACAATAAGCCGAGGAAACAATGCATTTACTATTTCCGAACATGTCGATATGGTGTGAATGTATGGTGCAGCCGGAGAAAATGCGTTCGCGGCGAGTAGGTTGTACCGGGAACGATGGCCACAACGTCACCCTCCATGTGCAAATACAATCCTACAGTGCGTTCAGCAGCGAAGACCCCACAATTAGTACTCGACGACTCGCACAGCAAGTAGGAACCTCATCTCGCACCATACAGTTCAACAGATTTTACCCCCGGATTGTGATCAAAGAATGCGTTTTTGCAAATGGTTTTTTCGGCAATGTGCCAATCAAGAAGACTTTCCTGCTTATGTTTGTGTAACAGATGAAGGACATTTACTCCTGATGAAGTGATTTCCATATATTATGGAATGCATATGCACATATGTCCCGACGAAAATCCTCACGCGATTAGGGAAACTCATTTTCAACATCAGTTCTCGGTAAATGTTGGTACTGGCTGGCGATGTACTTGTGGGTCCTTATTTCTTTCAAGGACGACTAAATGGATATGCCGACTTTTTGGAGAACCGGTTAAGTTCGGGCACGCATGTTTTATCTTCAAGATGGGGCTCTTCCACACTCTAGAAGTAACGACACTTTTGAATGAAATGTTTCCTCAGCGATGGATTGGACGCTTTGGTCCTGTGTCATGGCCACATCGGTCACCCAATCTACCTCCAATGGACTTATATTTTTGGAGTCACTTGAAGTCATTGATTAGGATACTTCAATTGCTACGGTGGAAGAATTGCGAAACCGTATGCTTGAAGCTGCTAACACAATTAGGGGAATAGCAGAATTTGGGAAAATATTCGCCAAAATTGGGTGCATCGGTGCCATGCCTGTATCTGCGCTACTGGGGATCAATTTCAACATTTTCTCTAGAAATGGTAAGTTTTATTTCATTTTGTTCCATATTTTAATGGAGTTTGTTTAGTGCACACAGTTGGCAGCTGCAACAATGCATTTGAGATAGTAATTCCTATTAATTTTATTATTATAATAAGAAAATATCAGTTTTTTTTTAATTATCTATTTTTCTTAGTTTGTACTTTTGCGTTGAAAAATTTCCCAAAAATTGAGAAGTAGGTATCTTTCTCTCTTTTCAACGACGATTAGTTTACGCGTCTGGTCTACAGCACGTAACTCATCGTACAGCGCACGGACAGGACCGTTCCAGAGAAAATATTTTGATCCATAATTGAACTTCAATTTACGGAAAAAAAACGTAAAAGTAGAACTTTTTCGTATAAGACTTTTCTATTACAAATATTAGGAAGCTGTAGTTTAATTTTTATAGATTATACACGCCACACCCTGTAAAAAAAGTAGTTTAATTTTCAATACTTACACTCTGGCCTTCCTTCTTAACTTTCTTCTCAACTTTCTCATACTTTTGCGGTTTTGGTAGGAATTCGTTCGTTTTATACGTGGTAGTCTTCTCTTGAGTATTACTATTATTAGCAATGACAGCTTGATTCGTTTGGTTCGCGTTATTACTGTTACTGACATTGTTACTTCCATTGTTATTTGAACCGTTGGTACTTGAAGTAAGCTTGACCACCACATTACAGCCGGAGTTGGAAGAACTGACGGAGCCGGAGCGGCTGTGAGACCCGGAATCTCTGGAATGAGAACGGCTGTTTGTCCGATCGAAATTCTTCTTCTTGGATTCTTCTCGCACTAGGTAAATGTCTTCGTAGTCATTTTCATGGTCGCCAGATCGCTCGGATAGGTCGGAGGATGACAGGTTCTCATCTGACCCTGCTCCACTGCTGCTGGAGTGCACTTCTACTTTTACTGTAACAAATAATGGCGCTGTTAAAAAATAGTATTACATACAGGTTGTTCCGCTTAAACTCGAATCTTTGCATAGCTCTAGTAATGCCGATAATACAAATATATCGTGTCAAATAAAAGTTGCGCAATATAGATTTCGAGAGAAAAATTGGATAAGTGAGCAACGCAATGGGCCATTAATGTATATTCCTAATCTACAGTTTCTGCACAAAGTGGGCTAGGATCCCAACCTCAATCTATTAATCCCAATATCACCCAACACCGCAGGTACATCTTCGATGTTCGAAGACAAACTTAATCCTATAACGTTGTAATTTTTGATGGATATTCTTCGTACTCCCCCGAAGTAATAAAACTATACCTAGAGGTTGTGGCAAGTCAGTACAGTGTTCTGTTTTGTTATTTTTTTCTTTTGGTATCTCTATCTTAGACTTTTTTCAGATCTAGTCAGATCTAGTCTAATATGAATAAGTTGGAGGCATTTCGAATGATCGATCAATCGATCTTGAAAAATCATAAATAACGACAAATTGCAAGAAGTAATTTCGGTAAATCTGTGTACAATTTTAAAAGTTTTCGTAACAACAATGAATAATAAAGCATTTGGGTAATCATAGCAGTGATAATTACGATCAGTAAATAAAATGATCGACAATTTCAAAAAAATTGTTTGATGAGTTTGAAAATGCACATCATTGTGTAGATCAATTCTTTGAAAACCATTTGCCAGGATAAGGAAGAAATGAAACACTGACATTAGAATAAATGGTAAGAAAATATAATGGCAGATTGCAAATAGACTATTTTACAGGGCCTCACTCCAAGATAAACTCTTTAAATGTAAAGTTGTGGAAGGTTTTGAGTTTTTGGGAATAAGGGAGTTCTGGTATTAGAGTTTGTAACTGGGATACGCCGAATGTAGAATTTCAGCTGATTTTTAGATTTTAGGGATGGCTATCTGGTGTTTATCCGAAACTGAAGGTTGCAAGGTTTAGTAGAGTCTCTGTAAAATGAGCCCCACAAATATGGTGCATCAACTCGTATGTTGGTCTGTGTCCAAAAAGAAACTGCTGCTTTTCCGGTTTTAAGTATGATTTTTGGCAATTATGAGAAAACTAAAGAATGCCGTTTTTTGTGAATGAACAATAATTATCGTTTGGTGATCCACTAGCCGTTCCAGTTTATTGGAATATTTTCGTTTATTCTAACATTCCGAGATATTCCATTCATATTCCGATTTATCCCGACTTATTCTGATTTATTCCGGCTTATTGCCGTTTATACTGGTTTTTCCCATTTATTCCCACTTCCAATGTTTTCCATTTATTTCTATAAAAACATATATATGACATAATGCTCTGTAGGTTATATCTTACCATTACTTAAAAACATGTATGTTTATGGACTATCTAAATTTCATGAAATTTGGACACAAAGAAACGGAGTTATTGCGTTTGAAGTAACAGTATGCTTGTGTCATCGATACAAAAATGAGCATCGAACAAAGAGCTAATATTAAGTTTTGTTTTAAACTTAGTAAAACTTTTTCCGAAACGTTTGAATTGATGAACCAATCATGGTAATGATTGTTTATTCCGTGGATAAAGATCAGTGAAAATCATTATTGAAATTCATGCATCACAAAAACAACAATTTATCGCATATTGGCTAAATATATGAACTATCGAAAAGTTTGTGCAGGGTTTGTTCCGTACAAGTTGACTGACGACCAAACATTGCTCAGAAATCAACATTCGAAGGACATCATCAACGAGGCTAAAATTTTTCTATACAACATTGTGATCGGTGATGAAACGTGGTGTTTTCAATATGATCCAGAAACCAAGGCACCAAACTGCAGAGTGGAAGGCGCCAGACGAGCCAAAACCCAAAAAATCTCGTCTGGAGAAGTCAAAAGTAAAAACAATGTTGATTTGCTTTTACGATTTCAAGGGCATTGTCCACAAAGTTCCAGCGGGCCAAACCGTTAATGCACAAATCTGTTTTGGTGTTTTGAAGTGTTTGGTGTGTCATATTCGTCGTATTCAAAATATCGCGCAGAAGGAACTTGATGTTTGCTGCACGATAATGCATGGATTTTTTGACTAAAATCACATTTTAACTGTCACCCACTCCCACCTGATTTGGCACCGTGCGACTTTTACCTTTTCGTAAAAATGCATTTGCCGATGAAAGGAAACCGTTTTGTGGACGTNAGGGCGTTCATTTTACTACAATCCTTTGTGGATATTCTTCTGTAACTTTTTTGTACGTTTAAATTTTTACACGCAATATCAGAAATAGGTGAAGAATTTTATTCTACACAAAAAATGTATACCTATCAATAGTCGAAATTATGCTTGATTATGAAGATATACAGCCTGTTACAAATTCGCTTCTCACTACAGGGATCTCGACAACTGTAAGAGATAGGAAGTAGTTTAAATGGGGGCAAAGTTGCGTAATCAGGGGACCAACATTATGCCTCTAAAAAATCAAGGCTAACATGATTAGTTTTCGAAATATTTGAAAAAAAACGAAATTTTGGAAATCCGTTTTTGTTTCATTTCAACCTTGTTTGAGGTGAGCACTTTCTCATAGCCACTTTTTGCCCTCTATCGAACGGCATAATCAATTTTTACATGTAACGTTTCGTCTCTTCAGGTCCATCATCAACTTTATTTTTTTAAATACGACCCTAGAAATTTGAGTATATTTTTTGCAAGCCTTCATGACCCCCAATGCTGTACTGCCTCAGCCCGAACCAGATTCAGACGTTTTGTCTCGAAAAATTCATCTTCAGTGTATTCGTTCGTAATTTATCTAAATTATTTATTTATATTTCTTTGTTTATTGAACTATCGTACACTGTAAGTGTCATTAGACCCTGCGAAATCCATCTAGTTATTTAAACTGTTACCACCACGCGTTATAATAAAACATTTATTATTATTAACTATTACTATTACTTGGTCATACATAACTCAATAAGTTGTTGCGTCAAAATTAAAACATTATTACAATTTTAATTTTATTATGACAAATTAATCCTTAAAAATGAATATGAACAACCAAAAACGCCAACTGAACATTATTCTTTAAAAAAATTCAGTAAATGTTTATAAAAACATTTTCGTTTTGGCAAAGGTTGAAAATGAAGATCAGCTTAATAATATCGGAATTTATTATATCTGTAACCGCAACTGTGAAAGAGCATGTCAAATGTATTTGTATGAATATCCTGAAAAAAATAGATCGGAATTTGTTTGAATTTTGAGCACTCGAGAAGCTTAGAAATAACTATGGACACGGGAATAAAACTATAATTATGTTTTATTTTAAAGCGTGGTGGTAATAGTTTAAATAACTAGATGGATTTCACAGGGTCTAGCGGCACTTACAGTATACGATAACTCAATACTCAATACTCAATAACAAAGAAATCTAAATAAAAAAATTTGATAAATTTGGAACGAATATATTGAAGATTAATTTTTCGAGACAATTCGTCTGAATCCTCTGGCTGAGGCAGTATAGTATTGGGGGTCATGAAGGCTTGCAAAAAATTAATAAAATTTCTAGGGTCGTATTGAAGTATGTAACATTCGTTAGGTGACACCCTGTATAAAAGGTCATCTTAATTTTTGATGCAGCATTCTGCAAATAGAAGACAATCTAATCTCTATAATAATTATATTAGATAGAAATTTCTAGAACTAATGTGAATTANCTAACATGATTAGTTTTCGAAATATTTGAAAAAAAACGAAATTTTGGAAATCCGTTTTTGTTTCATTTCAACCTTGTTTGAGGTGAGCACTTTCTCATAGCCACTTTTTGCCCTCTATCGAACGGCATAATCAATTTTTACATGTAACGTTTCGTCTCTTCAGGTCCATCATCAACTTTATTTTTTTAAATACGACCCTAGAAATTTGAGTATATTTTTTGCAAGCCTTCATGACCCCCAATGCTGTACTGCCTCAGCCCGAACCAGATTCAGACGTTTTGTCTCGAAAAATTCATCTTCAGTGTATTCGTTCGTAATTTATCTAAATTATTTATTTATATTTCTTTGTTTATTGAACTATCGTACACTGTAAGTGTCATTAGACCCTGCGAAATCCATCTAGTTATTTAAACTGTTACCACCACGCGTTATAATAAAACATTTATTATTATTAACTATTACTATTACTTGGTCATACATAACTCAATAAGTTGTTGCGTCAAAATTAAAACATTATTACAANGCATCAATAAAGTCAACTGGCGAACGTTCGTTATATATATTTTTATTGTTTAAATTAAAATAATAAAGAATAGGGCATTTTATTATAATATTTGTAATCGGATCAAAGGCTTGTTTATGCTAGAGCTCGAGAGAGACTGTGAATAATAGGTGTAATGTTTTTAGGACGTAGAATAATTTAGGCGACGGTCGGAATTATGTTTCTGCGCATATGAAGGTCAAAGCTCATAAGATTTTAAAACATCTCTATCACCGCATTATAAGTAACTTCTTAAAATAACGTTTTTCTATATTCATCTGGATAAATAAAAGTTAAGTCTTTAGCCAATTTCAAATAAATTAATTCTTCGCAATAGGAGACACTTTTTTGTTTGAAATCATATTTATCAAGAATTTAAAAAACTCGATGATGAGAAAATTGCTGTAAAAGTGCAGATATAAAATTATATTTAGGGGGCTAATTGTAGAATTCTAATAATATCTAAAAAGTTACAAAATGGTGAAAAATATCCAATAAACGAATGTAACGCGATTCATGCTATCCTTAATTGTAGAAGCTTTATTAAATCTTGCATTAATTTCATGTTTATTCATTTGATACTTACCATAAATTAAAATTAACTGTTGCAACTTTATTTTAATTGTTTTAGAGTGAAAAATTAAATACAGTTCTTAACGTCCAACATTCACCACCAAAAAAAGTAATATCCGACTGCAACTCTGTCGATGAGAGATCTGAGGTGAGTAATAGAGTTTGCTTTATTATGTTAATTAATGTATTATTTACATCTTTGCAGATATCTTTTACTCCAAGTGATCCATTTGCCTGTTCTGGTGATTCTTCCTATATTCCATCTGACACAGAGGTTAGTTTATTCAAAACTATTTTGTAAATTTCACTAACAATTTGTTTAAATTCCAGGTATCTTCCTCTGTGCTGGAAGATAGCCCTCCTGATTTCAATATCTATACTCCGTTATCCTTCCACAACTATAATTCAGATAATGATCTAAATTTAGATAACCATGTGTCTAGCAGTACTCCTTGCAGAGATATTCCAAACAATGTTGATAATGATAAAGCTGAAAAGTTAAAGGCTGAGGTATTAGAAAATGATTCGGACCATATGTCAGGCAGTACTACGTGTAGAGACGCATTAAACAATGTTGGTAATAATGAGACTAGGGCAAGAGTTTACGAAATGAGCAAAAATTATGAGCTAACTACTAGCGGAGAAATACTAAACAATTTTAGTGACGATGGGCCAACTTCTACTAAAAATTCAACAAGAAAAGGTTCAAAACTCAAAAATTTTTGCTACTACTGTGAAACCGATGTATTAAACTTTGCAAGGCATGTTATAAATAATCACTCCTTGGAACTTGATGTCATCAAATTAAGCTCTATGTCACCAAAGTGTTTGGAAAGAAGACGCCTATTGACTAAATTGAGAAATAAAGGAAACTTTCTAAAAACGGCAAATAATTGTCCAAGGAGGGTACGCAAAGCTCAAATTCCAAATGCCCCTATATTGCCCTGTGACAACTGTCTTGGTTTTTTCTCTTCAAAACTGCTGTATAGACATAGAAAAAACTGTGGCGAAAGGAGAAGTGGAAGGGCACAAACTGAAGGGCAAAATAAATTAATAAATAACATTAGAACTGATGAAAGGCTAAAAAGAGAAGTATTTCCACGTATGCGGGGAGACAAAGTATCTTTGGAAGCAAAATCAGATAGTTTAATTTGTTCGTTTGGTGCACGATATCTAAGATGTCATAGAGAAAAACATTTTGCTACTGTCACATCACGTAAAATGAGAGAACTGGCGAAGATTCTTATTGAATTAAAAAAAATGGAACCGTCAATAAAGTCATTTTTTCAAGCGTTACAACCTAAATACTTCGATCTGTTTGTTCAAGCAACACAAACGGTGGCTGGATACAATTTGGAAACAGAAGTTTTCGGAGCACCCTCATTTGCAATGAATATAGTAAATTCATTCAAACAATGCTGCGATATAGCTATAAATTTCGTTCTTAGAAAAAGCGAACAATATGAGACTGTCCCAGGTGCAGAAGCAGAAGCTCAACTTAGAACAATGATCCATTTGTTTACAGCAAATTGGAGATTTGAAATTTCA